AACAAAAAGGATCCAAAGAATTGATGAAGTCAATTAATTACCAGAAGCACAATGAATGAAAACAGGGGTATTCTGAGCTCTCTTTCTACAACCCCACAAAACATATATATATATATATATATATACACTACAACCCCACAAAACATGAGAGTGTTCTTTGTGCTATAATGATCTGCTGGAAATTAGAATCTTTCTTGTGATCTTGGAATGATGTTTAAATATATATATATATATACACTACAATGTTTGTCAGTTTACAAAAACAAACAGTCTTACTGATTCAGATTTCAAATTTCAGACATAAAAACAAACAGTCTGACTGATTCAGATGTCAGATTTCAGACGTAAAAACAAACAGTCTGACTGATTCAGATTTCTGACTTCAGCACCACCTCTTAAAATTCAGAAGTGAATTCAGACTTCAGACTTCAGCACCTCTTAAAAAACAAACGCCACCTAAAACTCTTAAACTCTTAAAAACAACTTCTATTGCTTTAAGTACAACCTACTAAAGCATACTATCCTAACCACCCCCTTCCTAAACCCAATCCCATTTTTTTCTCCTCTAACCCAATCCCATTCTATCGCCCCTAATTCCCAATCCTATTTTTATCTATCGCAACCCTAATCCCAATCGATGAAATCGTTTCATTCCCAATCCCATTTTTATCACAACCCTAACCCAATTCTATGAAATCGTTTAATTTGATTGAGATGATATCGACTCTGCTTATCCCTAAACCCAATCCCATTTTTATCGCCCTAACCCAATTCGATGAAATCGTTTAATTCGACTGAGATGCATATATATATTTGACATGTTCTTCAATCCATCAGTGTCAATCCAGAATCTAGAGGAGGTAACGCTACCGAGTAGAATACTAGAATGAGGACTACAAGGACCAAAATTGTAGTTTACTCAAAATTCTATATTCTGCTAAGGAGCACGTAGACGTGTAGTGTGTTGACAAAGGTRAAAACGTGTTTATTTTAACTGTTTTCTTTTTTCTCGTTATCCCAGAAAGCAACAAGGGGTTTAGGTAAATTCATAAAATTAAAGGGTCCGTCCTACAATCTTGGCTACTCCTCCCTTCTCCTCRACGGACGGCCAMCGGAAATCGTCGCAAATTGGTGATCTTCTCTTGATCTAGGTTCGCCTTTTCATCTTATGCCCACCCTCAAATTTTATTTTTTAWAGCCCAACATCAATGTTATGCATGTAGCCCAGCTCCTCCAATCCAAGGTCCATCCTCAGCCTTTTTTCAAATCGGCCAGAACAGACTTCGAAAGTTGGACTCACACACATCCTGCTTTACACATCTGGCTCAGACGGCACTYGGCATTCACMGGCGGCGATCTGTTACTRCTCTGCTTCTGCAGTCTGCCTCAGTCACGCACTCAAGCTCCGTCCTTGGTTTCTCGGTAAGTTAATTTTGATATTTCTAGGGTATATCTTAGGATAAATCGTTCAATTGCAGATAGTGCGGTTCCAAAGTCCATATGTTGATGTCAAAATATATCATGGTTAATTGGTTATTGCCATTTTTGACATTCTGTAATAGACTAGCAGTCGGAATACCYAGTAACTGATCAAACAACACATGGGTGAAGTAACAAATTTATTGGTGTTAACCTGTTATACATTTCATCATACAAYAGAAACTCCCTGACTCTACCCCAATTAGGAACTCATTCTCTTGCAGAGTTAAGATCAATGGATGAACGATAACTTGGTTGCATATATTGAAATAGATGTGTTTGCGGACTTTGATAATGAAGATATCATTGATATGTTTCATCATACAATATAAACTCCCTGATTCTGACTTTATGTTCCCAATGCCAAAGCTCACCTAGAACACAGGGAAATGTAACCAAAATTTTGGAAGAGTTAGATAACCATATGAAAATTTTGGAACTCATTGGTTTTTATGAACCAAGATGGTAAATTAGGTAAGGTGGCATGTGAAGATCTAGTGGGGATGCATCATTGTTAACATTTTACTRGGTCTGGGAGTTAGAGAACTAGAATGAGGTTTTGAATAACTTGTTCTGCTTTTTGTGAACATGAGAAGATTTGTGCTACCTTAAATCCTTAATTCACTTTCATCTTTTTYAGTAATAGAGTATGGTCGCTGTATCTCCATTTTTGTTTACACCATTTCACGAGTGTCACCACAAATTGTTCTAGTTCTTGTCATATGCATAAGCTCTTTTGTAATTAATATATATCAGAAACTTATAAGCAACATTCAGAAACAATATGGATGCATATAAACCTTATATGTCAAATCATTCCTATTACTTCCTTCCTTCCTCTGTTTTACTTCTCTTCATCAAGAGAAAACATTGATTCCTATTTGTGTTTATAATTGATCGATTTGAAGTTACTTG